AATAGCACAAACTTTTCAATTTTATACCTTTTTTTTTTGAATTAAAAAAATTAACATACATTATAAAATCAATTATTTTTTGAGTTTAGATAATTGCAGCGATAAAAATAAATTTGAATACAATTAATAATATTTTTGATTTATTGACTGTTTCATTAAAATATGTAAAAAAATTCTTTTTTTTTTTGCATTTTGAAATTTCGAAAATTATTGAAACTTTTTTGTAATTTTACTAAAATGATTTCATCGTAATGTCAAAAAGTAATTGAAATGTTTAATGTAATGAAAATTATTAATTTTACAGAATTGAAATTATAAAAAAAATAGCAAAGTTACAATAAATAAAAAAAAAAAACAAAAATATCAAAATAAATAATTTCCTTTTCTTTTTTTTTTCTCTCAAATGCTATTCTCTCTTAAATTAATCAAAAATTTTACAAATATTCGTTGTACTTTCATTTTTTCTTTTTTGTTTTTGTTTAATGAAAAGGAAAAGAAATCTCAGAAAACATAATTTTATCAAAAGAAAATTACATTGTTTACATTGAATTTGAATCAATTTTTAAAGTTATTTTTATTAGAATTTAAAAAAAAAAATTTGGTTCGATAACTTTTATTTTTGTTATGTATTATTGTTAAGTGTTTAATTATTCAGAAATTAATTTTTTTTTTTTATTCAGTTTGCTTCTTCCAAAAAAAAAAAAAAAAAAAAATTCTTAAAATATTTCTTTTTGCAAATATTTCTCAAAAAAGAAAAATAAATCCTTTTTTCTCGACAAAATTTACACATTTCATCGTTCAATTCATTCTTTACTTTCAGTGTATTTAAAATTAGAAATAATTTTTCTTTTTTAATTTTAGAAAAAATTACCCAAAAATATTTCTGCAACTTTTGTCATAAATCAAATTTGTGTATTTGGCTAATAGTAATGCATGCATGCAAAAGTAATGCATGCTTGCAATAGTAATGCATGCTTGCAATAGTAATGCATGCATGCAAAAGTAATGCATGCTTGCAAAAGTAATGCATGCTTGCAATAGTGATGCATGCTTGCAAAAGTAATGCATGCATGCAAAAGTAATGCATGCTTGCAATAGTAATGCATGCTTGCAATAGTAATGCATGCTTGCAATAGTAATGCATGCTTGCAATAGTAATGCATGCTTGCAATAGTAATGCATGCTTGCAATAGTAATGCATGCTTGCAATAGTAATGCATGCTTGCAAAAGTAATGCATGCTTGCAATAGTAATGCATGCTTGCAATAGTAATGCATGCATCATGCGTGTCATCGTTCTAGAATTAATTCTTGGCGCTATATCTTCAATCGATATCTTGGGGCAAAATTCTTTTCATATTAATATTATTGTTACTTGAATTTGAATTTGAGTAAATTATTTGAAATATTAATTTTAAAATGACTAAGTGACATTGAAATATTAAATACGAAATTATTTAGCACAAATTCAGCTGTAAATCAGTAAAATTCACTAATACGAAATTGAATTTTCCTATCAAATCAGGTTGCAGTGTCAGTCATTTACTTTACTTTACTTTTGTTTACTTTTTTCTTTCAGTTTAGAAATGATAAAGATTATTAGCGATTGTTAAAATAATGTTAAATTTTAGGAAATTAAAAATTTTCATAAGAAATTTAAGTGACGCAAATATAACACACACACACGCACACGTGAACATACATACGCACGACACGTATAAACAGACATAACTGTACATACACATACACGTACACATACATATGCAGACCACATACCCATACATATAATAAAGACATGGGCAAAGGGCAAAGGTCATGTAATTTACAAAATAATTATGGGAAAAAGAAGAGAAGAATTTTGGAAAGAAAAATTTAAACCAGTGATGCTATTTGGTATTAGTAAAATTTATAAAAAAATAAAGATTTTTAATTACATTCTTCTCTTTTCTTTTTTTTTTTTTGCTTAAATCAATCACAAAATATGAATTTAAATAAACTTTAAAGCATACCAATGCATTCATTCATTCATTCATTCATTCATTCATTCATTCATTCATTCATTCATTCATTCATTCATTCATTCATTCATTCATTCATTCATTCATTCATTCATTCATTCATTCATTCATTCATTCATTCATTCATTCATTCATTCATTCATTCATTCATTCATTCATTCATTCATTCATTCATTCATTCATTCATTCATTCATTCATTCATTCATTCATTCATTCATTCATTCATTCATTCATTCATTCATTCATTCATTCATTCATTCATTCATTCATTCATTCATTCATTCATTCATTCATTCATTCATTCATTCATTCATTCATTCATTCATTCATTCATTCATTCATTCATTCATTCATTCATTCATTCATTCATTCATTCATTCATTCATTCATTCATTCATTCATTCATTCATTCATTCATTCATTCATTCATTCATTCATTCATTCATTCATTCATTCATTCATTCATTCATTCATTCATTCATTCATTCATTCATTCATTCATTCATTCATTCATTCATTCATTCATTCATTCATTCATTCATTCATTCATTCATTCATTCATTCATTCATTCATTCATTCATTCATTCATTCATTCATTCATTCATTCATTCATTCATTCATTCATTCATTCATTCATTCATTCATTCATTCATTCATTCATTCATTCATTCATTCATTCATTCATTCATTCATTCATTCATTCATTCATTCATTCATTCATTCATTCATTCATTCATTCATTCATTCATTCATTCATTCATTCATTCATTCATTCATTCATTCATTCATTCATTCATTCATTCATTCATTCATTCATTCATTCATTCATTCATTCATTCATTCATTCATTCATTCATTCATTCATTCATTCATTCATTCATTCATTCATTCATTCATTCATTCATTCATTCATTCATTCATTCATTCATTCATTCATTCATTCATTCATTCATTCATTCATTCATTCATTCATTCATTCATTCATTCATTCATTCATTCATTCATTCATTCATTCATTCATTCATTCATTCATTCATTCATTCATTCATTCATTCATTCATTCATTCATTCATTCATTCATTCATTCATTCATTCATTCATTCATTCATTCATTCATCATTCATTCATTCATTCATTCATTCATTCATTCATTCATTCATTCATTCATTCATTCATTCATTCATTCATTCATTCATTCATTCATTCATTCATTCATTCATTCATTCATTCATTCATTCATTCATTCATTCATTCATTCATTCATTCATTCATTCATTCATTCATTCATTCATTCATTCATTCATTCATTCATTCATTCATTCATTCATTCATTCATTCATTCATTCATTCATTCATTCATTCATTCATTCATTCATTCATTCATTCATTCATTCATTCATTCATTCATTCATTCATTCATTCATTCATTCATTAATTCATTAATTCATTCATTCATTCATTCATTCATTCATTCATTCATTCATTCATTCATTCATTCATTCCATCACAGATAGATGCATGTATATAAATTCTTATCGATAATTAAAGTAAATATCTCAGAACCGCCTTCTTCTCTCAGTAATTATTAGGTCAAAGAGAGAGAGAGAGAGAGAGAGAGAGAGAGGGAGAGAGAGAGAGACGAGGAAAGGAGGGGGAGAATGAAGCAAAAGTTAATAGTATGAAATGAAATGCTCCGCCCAGGAATTTCATTCCCATTTTTATAAAGTATCATTAGTTTAAATAGCAGAATGAATGAAGGAAGAAAGGAAATGAAGTAAAATGAGAGGAAAGAGAGAGGAAAGAGAGAGGAAAAAGAGAGGAAAGAGAGAGGAAAAAGAGAGGAAAGAGAGAGGAAAGAGAGAGGAAAGAAGAGAGGAAAGAGAGAGGAAAGAGAGAGGAAAGAGAGAGGAAAGAGAGAGGAAAGAGAGAGGAAAGAGAGAGGACACAGCACTAGGCTTCTTTTTTTATTTGTATTACCGAATTTCAAGTTAGTCCACAAAGCCCAATTTCCTTTCTTTTTCCTTTTTACTTTTTGCTTTTCATTCATTTATTTATTTTGTTGCGCAATAAATAGCTTAAAGTAATTAAATTTATGTAATTTTTTTCTTTTTCATTTCTTTTCTTTTAATCATTAATATTTCATAATTAATTATATTATTTATTAATTTTTGATTGAAAAAAGGAAAAAATTATTTTTCGTTTTTTTTTTTTATATTTATAAAATTTGTTGAGAATCCTTTTTTTTTCTTTTTTTTTGCGAGAATTTTATTAAATATTAATTAATTTTATTATAATTATTTATATATTTATTAGAAGACGAAGAAGAAAAGAAAGGAAGAAGGACAACAATAACAACAATTATTATTATTGCTACTGCTATTACTACTACAATTATTACTATTACTATTACTATTACTTTGCAATACTACTAATATTACTTTGCAAAAAGTATTAAAATATCTGAAATATTTCATCTACTTAATTTCTACATATGAAAAAATAAAAAAGTTAAATTTTTTCTGTGGAAAAATTGAAAATTAAAGAATGTCCTAATCGATTAATTATAACATTTTGTATTATTCTACTGTATGAACTATTCAATTAAAGGAATTAATTAATTTGCTTAAAATTGATTACTTTTTCTTCTTCCTTTTTCTCTTTACTCTGTTTAATTAAATTTAACAGTATTTGCAAGCACTGATAACAAATTCTCTGTTTCATATTTGCTTATTATCATTTAAATTTTGCATTAATGGACGATATATTTGATCAGCGAAAAGCATCGACGGGAATTAAAAGTGCCTAAAAATTTAAATTTAAAATATTTTACTGATAAAAAATCATTTTATCCTATCTACACAATTCGAAAAACATTTATTAAATTTATTTTCTAAATTTCAAAAGAAAAGAAAATGATGGCAATTGATTGTAATCAATCTGTTAAAATAATCATTCAAATATTTCTACTAAATATAATAATAATGCTCTTACCATCTACCCAAGCCCTCTATTGCTTGGTTATTAAACCTGGTAAGTATTTCAGTATTAAAATTTAAATTACAATTATTTTTTTTTTCTTTTATTCTTCGTTTTAATTATTGTTTACAATATTTTGCTCTCATCTATTTATATTTGTCATCTCTAATTGCTACAAACTTATAAATTAGTTAGATTAATTAGAATTAGCTTAGCAGTAAATTAGCTTATTCCATGCTAATTGATAAGGATAATTTGTTAGAATATTAAAAATTTTTCTCTCTCTCTCTCTCTCTCTTTCCCTTTCTTTTTTTTTTGAAATTTAGTAAAATAAAGAAAGAAAAAAAAATGAAAAAATTGGAAAATCTAAAGTAAAAAAAACAAAAAAAAAAAATCATTGTATTGATTTCTTCTTTTTTTCCTTCTTTTTCAATATTATTTCTAATTAATAATGCAAATGAGATGAGAAAAATAAAAATTTTCTACCATTTCCCAAAAAATTTAATAAAAAGTTCGAAATTTTTACATTTATATTTTCAAAGTTTCTTTGTTTGTTTGTTTTTTTAGTTTTTTTTATTAATTTAATGCCAATATTAAAATTGCATAGCTGTAAAAAATTGATTTCTTCTTTTCTTTACAATTATTTTTTTCATATATTAATTAATAAAATTGTTATTTTCATCGTTATTTGATTATTATAATTTAATAAAATCTTTATTTCCATTATTATTTATTATCAAATTTAATACAATCTTTTTGCTTATTATTATTATTATTATTATTATTATTATTATTATTATTATTATTATTATTATTATTATTATTACTATTACTATCATCGTAATTCTTAGATATTTGTTTAATATTCGAACCTTTTTCCATTTTTAGCTAATTTTTCTTTTTTTGCTTACTTTTTGTTAATTAATGCATTTCTTTTATTTCTTTTTAACTTTACAAAAATTTTTAAAATATTCTCAAAAATATCAGTTAGTTAAGATAATTTGATAAATATATTTATTGATTATTGAGAAAGGAAAATGAAAAGCAAAGAAGGAATGAAAGATGGATAAAAGCTAAATTTTGTCATATCATTCGTCAAATGAACTTTTAGGCCTGAAAAAACAGAAAGGACAACAAAAGGAAATGAATGGCCTTTTTTGGATGCAATAATTTCTCTTTCCACTCTTTAAATTATTTACTTTTATAAACAAATAAATGAATAATAATAATATTTCTTATCACTTTTTATATCATATCATATCATATATCACTGAAATAAAAAGATTTAATAAACTGTTTCATAGTTTTATTAATAAAAAATGAAATTATATTTTGTTCAATGTAAAATTTGGGGAAAAAAGAGACAGAAAATGCGATTAATTAAACATTTTTACTTTAAAAGAGCTTTTATCTAAAAAAAAAAAAAAGAAAATCTACAGCCAACTTTATTTATTACTTTTACTAATAATAAATAATAATAACAATAATAAAAGTTTTCATTTTATTTATAACTCAACGCACTAAAAATAATAAAATTTCTCTTTTATTCAGTCTATTTAAAAATTTTTTGAACAAAAAAATTTTAATTTTTATTACTTTTGTTAATAAGCGATTAAATTTTAACAAAAAAAAAAGGAAAATGGAAAATGAAATTAGCCTTAAAACATTTTTTTCTTTCTTTTAGTTAGCATTTTTGTGTTAGCTTTAACGATTAGCAAATATTTGACAGAAAATTTCTTCCTCAAATTCAAATTCATTCCGTCAAAATTTTTTGATTGTTTTATGCATTTCTATTCAAATTCACAAATCAATAGAGTAAATAAAAAAATTCGCTTAAATGCTGTATTAGTAATACAATTGCCATTATTGCATTGCTTCATTTTTTTTTTTTTTTATGTAAAAGAATTTTTAAAAGTAAAAGTAAAATTTTAAATTTATAATTTATTTCTGAAATAAAAAATAGAAAACAAAAAAAGAAAATTAGAGAAAAATTATTTTGTTTTATAATAATTATTATTTTTCATTGCGTAAGTTTGAAAATGACGATGAAATGTTTGCATTTTACTTGATGTGCATGTTATTTACAATATATTTCACTTGAAAACCGGTTCATTCTATCATTTTTCCGGTTTTTCCGGTGAGAAATGAAAAAGTAAAATGAGCATTCTGCCAGCCATTTTAGTTAGAATTAACGAAATAATTATCAAACATTAATTAATTGAACATTTTTATAGATTAATATTTAAAGCTATTATATGAATAAGCTCAACAAAAAAAAAAAAAATAAAATAAAATAATTTTCAAAAAAAAAAAAATTTTTTTTTCTCAAATTAATTATTAATTATAAATAAAATTTTAGGACAAAAATTTGAATTATTAATTAATATAACAAATATAATTTTTATGCATTTTTATGCATTCTTTTTGTTTCTAAAATTAATTTAAATTAATTTAAATAACTGAAATATTTTAAGCAAAAAAAAAAAGAGAAAAAGAAAATTAATAAATATTTTGATTATTGTGAAAATAATCTGAACGATTTTATTGTTAAGGATAAGAATAAGTGGATAAATCTACTTTATATATTTGGCCTAGGCTTTTGGATCCAAATACTCTTTGGGACTTATTAGCATCTATTGTTGAAATGACATCATTGAGCCAAGAGATGATGAGATGTCCCATTTATGAATGAAAGTTTTAAAAATTTAGGAATGTGTGGTGTAAGTGAAAATTTGAAAATAATTTAAAATATAAATGTGTTGTGAAGAAAAAAACGATAATAATTGTTATAAAAAATTAAAATTAAAAATTATATTAATTGAATAAACTATTTTGCATACTTTTACATTTGTTGTAGTAATTTTTGGCATAGAAATGAAATGGATTACTTACTTAAATTTTAAAAATAAATTAATTGAAATGATCAAAAATATTATTAGGTATTTGCCATTATTTATTATTATTACTAATACAGCTAATAACTATTCTATTAATATATTTGAAAATTTATTTCACCTAAATTTAAATTTTGTTTTTTTAAAAAACCTAGAATTTATATTTTATTTCCTTCTTTTTTTTTCATTATAATTCAATTCACTATAAATTTTCATTGCTTATTTTTCATTTCTCTTTTTTTTTCTTTTTTATTTCAGATAATTTATAAACACTAATTAATATCTGAAGAAATAAGAATTTGATGGTGTAAAATGGTAGCAGTGGTAGTGGTAAGGTCATTTAATCGGATTAAATCAAATGACAACAAATATTCGAGCATTAGAATTGTATTTACAAAATTAGAAATGGAATGAAATGAAATGAAATGAAATGAAATTAATTGGTTGGGAAGAAATTCTCAATAAAATGAATAATAAAATAATGAATAAAACAAAATTGAATTAAAATATCAATAAAAATAACATTAAAATAATAAACAAAACAAATTTTATCAATAATAAACTAACTTAACAGTTTAGTAAATTAGTATATACGAAAGTAAAAAGAGAGAGTTTATTAGATATTTAAAAATTCAATATAAATTGATTTGAAAATTTCAAATATTAAAATATTGATTTTGTAAAAAATTTGATTAAATTAGATGAGTAATTTCATCGTTTTTCCTACTTTTATAATAATTTAAGATTTAAATCAAAATTTTTTCAATTTTAAATCATTTCAAATATTAGAAAATTTCCTTCCAGCCGTATTTATTTTTTGATTATTATTTGTATTTGCATATTTGCATGGCTAAATTTTGCTTTTTCTAAACCACTAAAACCATTTCATAAATTTAAATTTGAATAAAATAAAATAAATAATCAAAGCTCTAAATTCTTTCTCTCTCAGATCTAACATTTTTTCTTTTCATTAGCTATCATTTAACTTTGTTTCAAAATAAATAATAGCTAATTAATATTTTCTTTTATTTGTATAATTAGTAAGTCTTATATATCATAAAGGAATCTTTCTCTTTCTCTCTCTCTCTCTCTCTTTTTTTTTGTCAAAAAATTATTAATATTTTAAAAAATGATAAGAAATTTTTTGAAAATTTGAGTCATCGAACTATTATTTCTACATTACACATTGATTTATCTTTTGAATTAGTCATCATTGTGTGTACATTTTGTTTAAAATTTTAAAATTTAAGAAAAAATATTTATGACTAACTGAAAATTTTGATATTATTAAAATCATACAAATAAAATTTTATCAAAAAAAGAAAGAGAAAAGAGGAAAATTTATTTTGATTCTTATAAATAAAAAGAAAAAAAAAATATTTGAATAAATAAATTCTTTCGTTTCTTTTTTTTTTTTCTTTCTTTCTTGCAGATGTTCAACAATTATTTGTTAGATGCATTTTTAGCACAAATGAATTAATTATTTGCTTTATTTTACATATTATAATGAATAAATATACAAGAAGAGACAGAGAGAGAGAGAGGGACAGAGAGAGAGGGACAGAGATGGAGAGAGAGAGAGAGAGAGAGAGAGAGAGGGAAAAAAGCGTTTGTTTATTGAATATTCCTTTCATTCTTGTATTCCACTGATTTCTTTTTTTTTTTTTTCAATCTTACTATTTAGAATTTAAATACTAAAATTTAAATCGACCAATGTTATTTTTGCATCAATTAAATTTGACTGTTAATTTCTGATTTGAATTGTTTATTTACTTTTATTTAAATCAAAACAAAAAGATTTAATTTTTTTTTTCACTTTTTTACCTTAACCAAAAGTATTATTTTAATATGGAATGAAGAAAAAAAAGAACCAAAAATATAGATAATGAAAAGAAATGACATTAATATATTGGAAATAGAAATGTAATTAATGCTATTCAATTCTAATTTTTTTTTCCTTTCTTCCATTTTTCATCTCTGTGTAATCATTTCTTCTTGCTTTTGCACAATATTTGAGATAAATTTGAAATCTAAATTAATATTTAAATGGAAAGAATGGAATACTGTCAATAAATCAATTATCTAAGAAAAATTAATATTTCTTATTTTAATAAATCAATTCGATATTTTAATTATTTTTTGATAAAAGACAAAAAAAAAAGGATTTCTAATATTATTTTAGAAATTAACTGTCAATTGCAATTTGTGATTTCCTTTTTTTTTTTTTTTCGAATTTTCTACTTTTGTTTCAGTTAAAATTAATGACACTGATTTGTCACTTACAAATGGGATTTACTAAAGGATTAATTAGCTTTAATGGTTGAATGATTTTTCGACATCATTTAAATTATGCATCGTTTAGTTAAAATGCAAAATAAGAAGGAAATTTTTCTTTTAAAATTTTAGTTAAAAAAAAATTTTTTTCAATAAAATAAAAACAATTTTTTTTTATTTTTAAATTTATGCCTCATTTTTCTTTTTCTTTTTTATTCTTTCATATACTTTCATTTCAAACTTATATGCTTTTTTTACACTAAAAAAAAAACGCTTTATTTTTTATTTATTTTTAAAATTATCAAAAATAAAACAAAATTTTTTTTTTATTATTTTATAAATTTCAGGACACGGTTTAATCAGTGAACGTTGTTCACACTTTGCCGTGGCATGCCGAGTACGCGTAGAAAATGACGCCATCGTATGGTACACGTCAAAATTATACGACCGTAATCAATTAGCGTGCGTTATGCGAAATGAATATGGCACGCTTGGTCACTTTTTTTTTTTTTGTTTTGATTTTACACGTAACGTTTAGTAATTTTTAATGTGTTATAATTTGATTTACGTGTATTTAACGTGTATAAATTTCAAATAATTTACATTTCACGTATGTTTTCAATCATTCATTTATTTCTTTTTTAGAATCAAATTTACAAATATATCTTTTCAGTTAATTAATTAGGAATACATTTATTTCAAATTTTGCTAACTAATAATCAATAATTTAAAAAAAAAAATCAAAAAAAGCTAAACGATAAGTAAATGAAATATTAGTACAGCAAAAATTTGTGAAGAAAAGAAAAAAAAAATATTTAAAAAAAGAAAATGAATGATTTATTTTTCTTTTTCATCATTAATAATATTTTTATAGAATTTGACATACATTTAAGATAAATTAGCATTAAAAGATTAATTATTGTTCATTTTAATTATAAACAATAAATTGCACAAATTAGAAATATCTTTTGCTGTAATAATAATAATAAATAATTAAGTGAAATGAAATTTCATTTAATTATTTGTTTGCTTATCTTCAGCAATAATAATAACAATAATTGTAATTATAATAATAATAGTAATTGTAATAATGTTTTAAAAGAAAGTTAGAAATTATTTACCTTAAGTTAAAATATATTAGATTAAAATTTGGCAAAATAATTTTTTTTTTCTAAAAAATGAAAAAAATAGAATAATACAATAACAATAATAAATATATGTGTATGTTATAGCTTCAATGAAATGAAGGAATTCTTTTGAAAATTGCAGCAAAAAAATAATTTGTTTACAAAAAACAATTAATAGAATAAATAAATATTTTTGTACATTAATATAAAGCAAAGTAAAATATAATTATGCATAATTTGTTGAGTGAAATTCTTTTTTTTTTTTTTTGTTTATTCTAACAATTAATAAATTAAAAATATTTTAAAATCAAAAAATCAATTGTTGTATTTATTACTTATATAATTGTAATATTTAGCATAAATTTGTTGAACCTTAAATGACACATTTCAATTTTTTTTATTGAATTACTTAATGATACGAAAGAATAACTTTGTTAAAATTAAAATGAATTCAAAAAAAAAAAAACATTATTGATTAGCTAACAATATTTCTTTGAATTCTAATTTATACTTAATTATGATAAGCATTTCTTGTAATTTATTAAATCGATTATACTACAACTTGTACTCATTAATAATATTATGTGTTTACAATAATATAAAAATTACAATGATTTAATGATTATAACAATGTAATCATTAAATCATCGTTATTATCAGATTAATTATTTAATTTGTTTATTGTTTAGATCATATTTATTTCTTTTTCTTCCTTTTTTTCCTTTGTTCTAGCAATTTGATCGATTTGATGTAAATTTACAGATCGATCAGGTTGCATCAAGAAATCATCCGGAAGTGTCCGATGTTGGTGCTATGGTCAAAGTAATTGTAACAGTCCACAAAACATGATCAAATTATACGATGCATTTAAAACGGGTGATTCGGTGTTACTTGATGAGGTCATCGATGACATCGAAACATCAGGTTGACACTAAATAATTTCTCTCCCTCTCTCTTTTTCAAATTTTAAACAAATAATAATTTTTAAAATTACAATTGAAATGAAAATTTTCCACAAAATTTGGAAATAAAATAAAATGGAAATGGAAAAAAAAATAATATATTGAGTTTACAATAAATTAAATTTTTTTCTTTTCATTATATTTGGATAAAATTCATTTAACACCAAATTGCTATATAAATTTATCATTTAAATTAAATTTTTCACTAAGTTTTTTTTTTTTTTTTTTTTTTATTGCATTGCATGGATTTTAATCATTAAATTATTGCAAATAGATTCGATTTTAATGCAAAATAATATTTTAACATTTATGCTAATTTAATATTTCAAATGAAAGTTTATTTTAAAATGTCATCTTTAGCTATTATAACACTAATTTATTGATCGGAAATTCTTTATGACACTAATAAAAACATTTATATTCAGTGTCCAATTTAATTTATTACTTTAATTAAAGCATTCAATTATATTCTAAAATCGTTGTAAAACAGATTTTAGACGCTTTATCTATTACTTTCCTATTATATTCCTTCTACCATTCAATTTAAATTATTCGACCAAAATTTTTAATTACTACTAAAAATTGTGGAATATTGGAAATTATTATGATTACTTTGCCATGAATAATAATGATAATAATAATAATTATTATTATTATTATACAGCAATTTATAATGATTATTTTATTATGAACAAATATTGTTATGAAGAATTTTACAATAATTGCCTTTTTTTATGAATAATATAATAATTTTACTATGATTTTAATGTGATAGTTCTTTTTTTTTAAAAAAAAACTTTTGCATTCCTTTTCGTTACTAACAATTTGTTTAATTTTTTCTGTTTCGTTCAGATTTCTTTTTTTTTTATCAAAAATAAAATTTTTTTTTTTTGCGGCCGATAAGCTAACATTGCTAACACATATAGAATTTACTATCAGAAAGATATTTACATATACGAGAAATAAAATTTATATATTTAATCGTTGTAAATGAAAAAAAAAAAACGAAAGAATGGAATTCGTCTTTGCTTGTAATTTTTCCTTCTCCTTTAAAATGAAGTTTTAAATAATAATTAACAATAACAATAACAATAACAATAACAATAACAATAACAATAACAATAATAATAATAATAATAACAATAATAAAAGTAATTTGTTGTATTATTTTAAGGATAAAACAAAAAATTCAATTAGTTAAATAATTATATTACGTTAATAAAAAACGATAAAAATGAATGTTAGTGCATTCATTTTTTTATAAAAATGCAAATATGGGAAAATTTAAAATTTAAATAATGCTAAATGCAAATAATTAAACTAATAAATTAAGATGTGATATTTAAAAAATTAATACTTAATAATATATAATTCATTTTTTTAAAAAAAAAAAATTAGTAATATATAATTTGATTTTTAGATACCAATGATTATGAAGATGAATCCGGAATAGAAACTACTTCTATTCGAATTAGTACCACAAAATATGTTACGGAAAATGTTAAAAATAAGCCAACATTACAAATATTTGAAAAGGATCATCGCAAAGTTGTAACAAAAGGTAATGAATAATTAGTATTTAGAAAGAAAGTTAATAAAATTAGCATTTTACAATTGTGCAATAATAATTTTTAAAAGATTGAAAAGTTAAGAATTAAAATTCTTTCAATTGAAAAATTGATTTTTCATTGATATTTTTTCTTTTTTTTTTTAATATATCAATTTCATGCATTATCTATTTATGTTTTAAATTTTATTTTAAATTTAAATATGTTATTTCATAGATTATCCCATGGCATTATCATCCATTTCAATGCAAATCGATCATACCAATCAGCAAAATGTTCACAAATATCAAAATTCTGACTCAAAAATGAGACAATCAATAAAAACAACCGAAATTTTGCCAACAGTTACTGATAAATTAAATGAAACTATGGAATATTCAAATATGAAACATTCTCAAAATCAAAATGAGAGGAAAATTCGGCATAAAGAAGTTGCCGGATCAGGCGTTAAGTCATTACGTAAACTGGAAATATTACGTGATACAATTGCTTTACTTTTATTTTCATTCATAATGTTCTAAAATAATTGTTCAGAAAATAAAAATTACTAACTTTTTCACTGTGAAAATTTAATCATTCAAAGATTTTCTTTAAAAAAAAATTTTAAAAGAAAAAAAAATTAGATTTTTATTATTATAAATTCATTTTTCAATGATTAAATTTCTTTAAGTTAGAAATTTAAAAAAAAAAAAGAAACATTCATTTAACTTTTTGAAGAAAAAAAGTAACACTTTGTGGTGACATGTTAGAATGTTATATTATTGTCAAAAAATTAATTCTTTCATATTTTTGAATCACAAAAAAGTAAAAATGATTTAAATTAAAGATGGAAAAAGATTTCATTTAAATTTTTTATTCTTTTTTTTTTCTTTTTATGTACAATAAATTCTTCTGTTATATTAAATTATAACCATTTTAAAATCTTTTTCTTTCTTTTTGTCTTAATGAAACGATAATTGAATTTTTATGATTGATTATATTTTTCCTTTTAAATGCTAAAAATCAGTTTGTCATTGTTTTCTTATATATTACATTCAATATTAAACTTTTCGTTTGCATTTCAGAGTGCTATCAAAACAGTAACATTCATTCATTCTCGAATTCTAAGATATCCTGTAATCCCGAGATATCCTGGAAGGCTCAAATTGCACCAAGAATTTAAGAAAAACAATAGTATTATTAAATAATATTTGAATTATTATCATTACTTCTTTGTACAATTAATTAGATTGCAATTAACAAGCAATCTTTATTATTACTTTTTTCATTTATTTTTCAAAATCACAGTAATAAAATGCAAATTAATATTTATTATTCAATTTCACTTCGAAAAAATGATTTAGTATTTAATTCTATTGCAAAAACAATTATTACTTCTAACATTTTTAAAAATAAATACATTTATTGGAGTATTTAAGTACCAATTAGATTGTAAATATAATTATAATAGGAAAATTCGTTTGATCCAATCTTTGTTGTTTTTTTTCTTATTCAATTAAAATTTAAAAAAGGAAAAACAAATAAATAATGAGTGATAATATATATATAAACACAAAAGACTGAAATTTTATTAAAGTTAAAAAACTTTAAAGAAATTTTAAATTTCACAAAAAAAGTAAATAAATAAACAATAACAAAAGCAACGAAAGTAATTTATTTTTTTTTTTTTTACGAAGCAATTTTTATGGTTTCAATTGTATTTCATTATTTTCCAGCATTTGTCGCATTCGATATTTTTGTATTTTCGTATTTACCCGTGGGAAATCGTCAACAATTGCAAATTTTGCTGGAACATTTAACTGAAAAATACTTAAAATGTTATTTAAAATTTGATTAAATTAATTTCAATCATTTCTATTTCTCATTTATTTATTAAAATTCGATATTATTATTGCTATTCACATTAACTATAAATTAAAGTAGAAAATATTTTTGTCACATTTTTAATTAAAATTGAAAATTTCATTCTAAAAGTTTTTTTTCTCTCTTCTTGCCTACTTATTGCACTTTTAAATTAAATAATTAATGAATTAGTGAAACAATGGAAAGGAAAGAAACAAATAATATTGAAAGTAAAATTAAATAAATAAACAAAGTGTGTCGCGGATTTTAATATCGCGATCTAAAAATATGAGTTGCAAATTGTAGTAAAGATATCTACGTAATTTCCGCAAATAATGCTTATACTTCGGACTCTTTGTTTCCAAATTTATGCTTCTACATATTGAAACAATTTACATCGTTCTTTGTTAGCAATCCTTACAATCATGAGGATATCTACATTGTTCTTTGTTAGCTATCATAATCATGCGGTTATCTAATAAGCTCTTTATTAGCAACTGGTGCCCATGCAAGCACCTCCTCTCCTTTGTTTGGATCATTGTCTAACATCAATGTAGATTTTATAACCATACTATTGTCAATTAAAGCAGTTTATTCAATTTGTTGCCCAAATATTTAGCTGGCATCCAACACATCTCCCTGACATCAAACTTCTCCCCCGAATAACAATTTAACCAAATCATAAAGGTTTGTTTCCAAAAACATTTTTTTGCTTCCACTACAATTTTGGTGCCACGAGCCGGGACATGTCCGACAGTATAAGAAAAGGAAGCGAATTATCGAAGTCGAGAACTCTAGAACTTCTTAAAGAAGCAAGTGAACTCGATCTGACCTCCCCGTCTCAAACACTATCACGAGGGGAACTTCAGCATCAATACGAAATTAAATTGCGAATCGTCAAGGAGAAGATCGCACATCTCGAATATTATGCTGGGTTACTCGAAACAGCTAATCAAAATTGGCTGGATAATATTCAGAGCTTGACAATAGCAACGAGGAGAAAGGAAGAGGAGACGAAATACGCCAATATGGTTGACGATCCACAAGGTATTTTAAGCTTAATCACTAGAACAAGAGAAACTATTATTACCCTTAAAATACATACTGATGAATATTGCTCGGTACTACAACATTTAAAACAAGAAGAGGTCAAAGAATCATTTCCAAAGAATAGTATGATTCACACAAATCAAGCAGAAATAAAACTTCCTCAATTACCACTAATAACGTTTAGTGGGGATCCAAAATTGTGGAGGCAATTTGGTGTAGTTTCAAGGCAGCAGTCCATGAGCAAAGCATCCCAGATATTCAAAAGTTAAACTATCTGATATCATGTCTTAAAGGAGATGCTTTGTTATCTGTAAGAGGTTATGATATAGCGCCAGAAAACTACGATGTTATAATAGGTTTACTAAAAGAGAAATATGGTAAACCTTTCCTTATAAAGAAATCACTCTACAACGAGTTGAATACCATCAAAAAAATGACCGAGAGTGGAAAGCAACCATAGAAGCCATGGAGAGAACATTTCGACAACTGGAAGCTATAGGTGAAAATTTAGAGCATTCAAGCATCGAAATTACAATTGAAAATAAACTACCAGCGTGGATAATTGATAAATTATACCAATTGAAAGAGGATTCGACGAGTTGGTCAGTTAAGGATATCCGGCAGTACCTGACAAAACTAGTTCTAAGAAATGAAGAAGTTGCTAGAAGTCAAGCAGACACAAGGGAGAAGAAAACAAACAAAAATAATGTTAGAGGCGAAACGTCAGCTTTCGCCACAATCAACCAAACAAAGGGAGATAATACAATCAAATCAAAAAAGGTTCCAGGAAAAATTTCTATAAATGGGAAAAGGAAACCATGCGTATTTTGCAATAAGGACCACTGGAACAATGAATGTAACATCTATCCCACTCTCAAACTCCGGATGGAACGTTTGAGAGAAATCACTGCATGTTTCAAATGTTTACGAAAAGGACATGCAACAAGTGATTGTAAAAAGGGAAACCTTTGTGTTTCCATTGTAAAAGTCCACACAATACAGCACTGTGTCCCAACAACTACAAGGAACTCACGCAAGCAGTGGATTCCAACAAAGAAAGGTTGGGTTCAGTCACAATCGCTAACTCCATTACCGAAAAAGGAAATCAATGGAAAAAGCGAACCTTACTGTTATGTAAGGAAATAAATGTAACCAATCCAAATCGCCCAAAAATCCAACAAAAGGCTTTAATTCTATTCGATATTGGTTCTCAATTATCGTTCATATCAAAGGATTTGGCTTATCGATTGAATCTACAAGAAACTAACGAGATGGAAATAAAAATTGCTTCATTTGGTGATAAGACGCCAAAACGTGTATCACTACTAAAACTGAAATCGGAGTAAAAATTGGAAATAAAGAAATAATCCGATTAGATGTAATAACAGTTAACCACTTGACGAATGAATTGCAAGTAGTTAATCTAAACAAAAAGGAATTGTTGATGATAGACAAACGAAATCAGTTTAGTAATTTCAAAAACAAATGGAAACAACCGGACATACTCATAGGTGCGGATCACTTCTTCAAGTTTATCCAGTTTGACCAAGCAGAGAACTTAAAATCAGGATTTTCATTGATCCATACAAAGGTTGGACCTATAATAGCTGGAAGTGGGTATATAAATGAAATACACGACAGTATTTCAGAAACCACATCAGTAAGTCCGATTTCTCAAGTCAATGCCGTCAATATTCCAGACTTAGATCACTTTTGGAAACTGGAATTAATGGGTATACAAGACAAAATAAACTCTGACAATGATGAAAAAGCATTGCAGCAATTTAAACAAACTATCACTAGGGACAAGGGAAGATATCAAGTTTGTTGGCCTTGGAAAGATTCAAAGAACAAACTAAGCGATAATTTCGGACTTTGCCTTGGAAGATTAAAGTCGTTAATTAGGAGGCTTCAAATGAAACCTCAATTACTAAGTCGATACAATCAAACTATTGAAGAACAACTCAATTCCAATATAATTGAGAAAGTGTCATCGGAAATGAATGAAGTTGGTATTATTCATTATCTGCCTCATCACGAAGTAATAACACCAAATAAAACCACGACAAATCTGAGGATAGTTTATGATGCATCAGCTCATTGTAAAGGAATGAAAAGTTTAAATGATGTTTTATATCGGGGACCAATAACACTCCCTGATTTGGTTGGAGTTTTGCTACGTTTCCGTACAATGAAAAATGTAATAATAGCAGACGTAGAAAAGGCGTTCTTGCAAATAGAATTGCATCCAACAGATAGAAACTGCACTCGATTTCTTTGGTTGAAAGACATTCGAAGTCCAGTTAACGAAGAAAACGTAAGTTGTTACCGTTTCCAACGAGTTCCATTTGGAATTGTATCATCTCCATTTTTATTGTCCGCTACACTCAATTATCATTTGGAAACTTGTAAAAGCAAAATCGCACTCGAGTTAAGGAAAAATCTCTATGTCGATAACATTATAATACCAACCAAAGGAACCAACGAAGCTCTTTCCAATTATAAGGAAATTAAAATTATATTCAATGAAGCATCAATGAATGTACGGGAATTTCTCTCTAACGACCAAGAAGTCAATGAAAAACTTCCGGTACAAGATCGAGCAGAGGTAAGTTCAATTAAAAAAATT